GGGAACGAACAGTACAAATAAGCATAACAGGTAACATTTCCCATGACTCATCCAAGGGATAACCCAAGCAACCACTACAGCAGCTCTCCTCCTGTGGCCTTGAAAGATACGTGTTGCTGCGGCAAGCAATTAAGTGCAAGAGAAGGAATGCGGAGGAAAGTGAAAGTAGGAAAACATTTGGCAGCTTGCTGACACCTCCACAACACAGTCTCCATAAGAGCAAAACAACCCAGGAACACAGTAGAGAGGCCATCACTTTCATGAAAGGTGGCAGGAGTTGACGTAACAGACGACTGCTTCTTAAATGGATGGTTCTAGGTTGCCTGCTCCAGTGAGCTCACCAAGCACCCTGGTGATCCTAGCACCTGAGGGCAGAACCACCAATGTGGTCTAGAGAGAGGTCCTTCGGTAGAGAGAGAGAAAAGTACGCATGTCTCACTTCATTTCTTACACTACAATCTTCTCCATTAGAATTCCTACAAGAAATGTCACATTTCAGATTTCACATCATCAGTATTATAACTGGATTTATCAAACTTAAGTACCATAGCGAAGCACGGGTAGCAGGCTAGTCCTTAGATAAGACAGCACCTAAGTGTAAGGCGACCACTGGTGCGTCCACTAAAGGAACCTTTCGATCTTGCATAGTCTCCTCTGGGAGGGGATAGAATTTCTCAGCAAATGATTGTAGGGAGCTACCCTATCCCAAAAAGGCTCTCCCTGAATGACCCTGGAAAGGGCATCCGGTTAGCCTTTTGGGTGGTTTTTTTTAAACCTCTTTCATCTAAATTGGCTGAGGCTGACGTATCTGGCTTGTACTGATTCGGAAGAATATTTGAGAGTGGACACCACCTTCCTTAAAAGCGTCTGAAAATGTTCCGCTTGAAAAAGTCTGGCTGAGCTTTCCTTGCCGTCAGACTCCTCTCCAGACTACTCTTCCTCTTCCTTGTCAGAGGGGATGACAACAGAAGAAACTACTGAAAGAGAGAATTGTGAGCTTCAGTCTCTTGCCCCAGAAGCGCTGTGTGGTCTGGGTTTTTTGGAAGGAGGGTGGAAAGTTGGAGAATCCTCCCTGTTTCCTCTTGTCTCCTTTTGTGGCTCAAAGGGGGCTTTAACCTGTTTTTTCTAGGTTGGACCCTCTCAGAACAATCCAAAGAGGAGGATGAGACTGAAGAGTTAGGGGCCGTAGATGGAGAAGTACTGTGGCTGTGGGGTCTCCCCGCCCCAAATTCTCCTCTGAAATCGCCTGTGTACCTTCAACTCCCTCTCTGGCATGCTCTCCACCCGTTCTGCCCAATCCTATGCAAATGGAGCCAAAAAAGAATGCTGAGTGGACAAGGACTGAGCTGGTGGTCACCCATGTTGGTCTGAAGCAGTACAATAAATTTAGAGACCAGTCGGGCACCTTTAAGACCAACAAAGATTTATTCAAGATATGAGTTTTCATGTGCATGCATGCTCACTTTTTCAAATACATTTTTTTTTGGTCTTTTCTGAGACTGAAGTGCGGACAGTGTTACTTGTGTGTGCCTTTTTTTTCCCTCCCCCCCCCCCGAAAACAAACCCAAGACTGGAGAGACAAACCTCTAGCAAGGACAAACCAAAGCAGGTTTGGGGGAAACAGCAGTGGAACCATAGGAAATCAGAACATCGGCAGACGTTTGATGATGTTATGCAGAAATGAAAATTACATGGGCTGCAATTGTGAGGGGGGATGTAGAGAAAGAACTCCACTCGTAAGCAGCCTTGGTCTGTCTGCCGTTGTTTCCTGGAGCAATTAACATGCAGCACTCAGATGGGGAGGCCTTTGGGGCTTTCTCAATGAAATTGCTTTGAGCAACTGAATCCACAGAGAAGGCAACTGAAACCTCTAATCAAAGAGCCATAAATAATAGTCCCTGGAGAGATGTGGGATGGCTCACAGCCAGTTTGGTGTAGTGGTTAAGTGTTATCGCCTGCAAATATTTGGCCTTTGTGGAGAAACCTTTAAAGGTGCATCATGTTTTGCAAGTGCTGGGACAGAGAGGCAGTCAGAACCTGGAGCCTTCTTCCGCTTTAGTACATGTCATTCCAGCATAAAGTTTCGATATTTTTTACCTTAAAACCTTAGCTTGTTATTTACTTGAAAAGGAGCCGTTTCTGTCAGAGCTCTCTCAGCCCCACCTACCTCACAGGGTGTCTGTTGTGGGGAGGGGAAGGGAAAGGAGTCTGTAAGCCACTCTGAGACACTCTGGGTAGTGAAGGGCGGGGTATAAATCCAATCTCTTCTTCTTCTGGATATAAATCTTCTCCACATATCATTTCACATTACAAAAATATAAGACTATGAAATTTTGAAAATTCATAAAGGCTTATTCATATTATATTATCATGAAGTTCATATCTTTATTTCTTTCTTATCCAATCGTAAAAAGGAGTCCGTAGCCCAACAAAATCTTCTTCCATTTGCCCTTTTAACATCAAAGTCAATTTGTCCATTTCTGCACTTTTCATTTGCATTAAGAATGAATAAGTTTTCTTAATCAATTTATCATTCTTAATCAACTTAGCATTAGAGTACATAACAATATTTCAAATACATATTGTTCTAAATAAAAACCAGATTTTTCAAAGTCAATTTGTCCATTTCTGCACTTTTCATTTGCATTAAGAATGAATAAGTTTTCTTAATCAATTTATCATTCTTAATCAACTTAGCATTAGAGTACATAACAATATTTTATTTAAGAATTTTGTCTAGTGAAATTAGGCTTGGTTGTGAAAAGGCTTCAAGGGGTGAGACCCATCTTGGGATTTTAGAATATACCAATGGTAGAATCTTTTCCCAAATTAATAATAAGGGTTTTCTTTTCTTTTCTTTAACAAAACAATTTTATTGATTTTTATCAAGGTAACAGAGAACAAACAGATTAGTGAATGGAAAGTCAAATCAGTTACAGAAACAACATGGTAAGTACATTGTAAACAAGTCGTGGACTTTTATCAAGGTAACAGAGAACAAACAGATTAGTGAATGGAAAGTCAAATCAGTTACAGAAACAACATGGTAAGTACATTGTAAACAAGTCCTGGACGGTTAATTCTAGCATATTGAGTTACAGTGAATTATATATCATAAATTTTGTTTTAGATTTGAAAGTGGTCAAATTAGGAGTATTACAGTAGTAGTGATTGTTTCAGATTCTACACTAAGATTTAATAATTTTGCATAATCAACAACGATGAAGACCTCATATGACTGACAGTTTTAAATGAATTGCAGGATTTGATATTTAGCTTGTGATATAGTCTCCCAATCGAACTTGTCTATATCTATGTTATCCAGTATTGGGGACCAAATACTTAGTGGGTTGTAGAATTCACATTCAGATTGGT